CAAAATCATGCAGCCCTAACAAGCGGCCCAGATGGGTTTTCTCCGCAGGGTGGCTGGCGTCTCCCTTAGGGATAAGGTGAGAGGTTCAGTCATCCAGGAGGGACTCGGAGTTGAACCGCTCCTCCTTCGCGTCGAAAGGAGCCAGTTGAGGTGGTTCGGGCACCTAGTTAGGAATCCTAACTAGGTGCCCGAACCACCTCAACTGGCTCCTTTCGACGCGAAGGAGGAGCGGTTCAACTCCGAGTCCCTCCCGGATGACTGAACTTCTCACCTTATCCCTAAGGGAGACGCCAGCCACCCTGCGGAGAAAACCCATCTCGGCCGCTTGTATCCACGATCTCGTTCTTTCGGTCATGACCCATCCTTCATGACCATAGGTGAGGGTAGGGACGGAAATGGCCCGGTAGACAGAGAGCTTTGCCTTCTGGCTCAGCTCCCTTTTCGTCAAAGCAGGGACGTGCGCAGACATTTGGAGGGGCTATTGCTCTAAACTGGAAAAAGGGCCTCCCCCCCGAAAAAAAATATAAGACCAAAACGTTTATTNCATTAACTAAATTGAAGAGTAATTCACATCATCATCTCATAACAAAATAAGCTAAGGCAACTACTTGCATTCGGTGACTTGATTTTTAAAATGAAAACCAGGGACATTTTTTGTTTTGCGGTCGATATCTCATTAAAATATCTAATGTTAATAACTATTAAAGAAAAACTGGGGACAATTCAATGTAGTTTTACCATTGCAGACATACTGTGTCCCGTACCTGTGCACGTCCCTGCGGTAAAGCGACTGCAGTACCGCTCCCGCTGCTCCGATTCTCCGGCCCATCTCACGCTCCATTGTTCCGTCACTCAAGAACAAGACCCCGAGATACTTGAACTCCTTCACTTGGGGTAAGGACTCATTCCCTACTTGGAGTGGACAGTCCATCGGTTTCCTGCTGAGAACCATGGCCTCAGATTTGGAGGTGCTGATCCTCATCCCAGCCGCTTATTTGATTAAGTTGATTATGTATATTGTTGAAGTATTGAATTACACNGGATTTTGATAGGTGGCGCTAGTGAGCAAGTTGAAATATTTTAACCCATTGACTCCAGAATGTTGTAATTTTTACCGGTCCTGGCGTCCATGCAAAATTATACAACTTTTTGAGTATTTTAAAGGCCTCAAAAGCAGGAAAGATGGCGACTAAAAATAATAATAATAATAATTCCACCAATAACAATAGGTTTCCTCGCACTTCGTGCTAGGACGCCGTCGGGTCCTAGCACATCGAGCTCGGGCCCTAATAATAATAATTCCACCAATAACAATAGGTTTCCTCGCACTTCGTGCTAGGACGCCGTTGGGGTCCTAGCACTCCGTGCTCGGGCCCTAATAAGAAAAAGAATAATACCACCAATAACAATAGGTTCCTCGCACTTCGTGCTAGGACGCCGTCGGGTCCTAGCGCTCCGTGCTCGGGCCCTAAAAATTGCTATTGCTATTTTTACTTGTTACAACAGAGGAAGCAGCAAATGCTGTGTGCTTGTTCTTGAAATGTCTTTCAAGATTAAATGTTCTGTGGTTGCTAATTTCTCACAATATATCAAGCATGCAGTAAAGCCAGCATTGTTGGCAGTAAAGGCAAAGGAATCCACACGCAGAATTTGAATGTCTATTTCATTTGTGATTTTTTTTGGATTTAACAACGGATATAGTTTTCCAAAGCCGTGGGTCTAATATTTAGTATTAGCCACCCCCGTAAGGACGAGGCTCATACATTAGCTGACGAAATATTCCTATTTTTTCACTGTCACAGTATCACCTCAAACTCCAAGATAAAGGGTGAGTCCACTGTTCAACAAATAGCTGTTATTCCTTTCCATGTTATTTGTTGTCAAAGCTACAGGGAGCCACTTCAGAGGGGTTGCCTATCCCAGAACTAGGATAGGTTTTGGCAATGATACTGGCATGTTAATATAAAAGATGTCCTGGTGGGACAGGGAGAAGCTGGAAACTGGGAGAAGTGTGTCCGGAGCTCTGGCTCTCTGAGCGGGGTTGGTACTCACCCTGACCCGGGCCTCTGTGAGGTTGGTCCACACTGCGATCTCCTCCCTGGTACTCATGTCGGGGTAGCGGTTCCTCTGGAAGGTGGCCTCCAGCTCCTGCAGCTGCTGGCTGGTGAAGTGAGTCCTCTGCCTCCTCTGCTTCTTCTTCAGGGAGCCGTCCTCAGCGCTGGACTCATCCAGCTGGTTCTGCTGGGATTTCTCTGTGTCTGCATCAGAGAGAAAGGGTGACATGAGGACACTGGGAACATGGAGGGGAGTAGACAGAAACAACCTAGAACAGTTAGTACATATAGACTCACTATCTAATTTATCATTGTGTATTCATTTGATTTTTTTGATTTTTGTGATTTTTGATCTATGTATGTTATTAATGCTGTATATAATTGTATATATAATTGTTGTATATAATATAAAGTAGCATCACATTGAAGTACAAGTGTATACCTGAACTTTCTTCCGGTATTTCTATTTAAATATGTTTGGTGGACTTGTTGTTGCTAAAAGCATAATGATGGAAAAAGAATCAGTTCAAGCCAATTTATGATTTATAATAATGATTGTTCCCTTTTATAACTGGAGAATTATATATACTCTGACCCTTGATTTTCAGCTGACCTGCTGAGCTTTCAGTAAGACTGATTTAATTAAATGAAAATCTACCAACATCGTTTCCGTTTTCCCTATAATTAGTACCAGATTTCCTAGTCCCTTTCAAAGACACTGCAGTGAAACCTTCACACAGCCGCTTTCTGCAGGTATTCTGACGCCTGCAGCTCTGTCTGCTGAAACTGACTGCCTTTTATTGTCAGATCCCACATAATCTGAAATCCCTCCTGACAAGCATGGTTGTGACCTTGCCAATAGATAATCATTCCAAACACTGCATTACGTTCAAAGATGTGCAGCAGCAGTGTGTGATTGTATTTGGCCCCCAACGCGATGGTTTAAAGGACCACACATCCATGTTGTGTCTGCCAGGCTTCACCCTGCCAGATCTCTCCAACAATTTGAGGACCTCACAGAAAGGAGTGAAATTAGTTGGCCAGCTAATCCTGCAGATCAGGCTTTTGTGACTGGGGCAAGTTGGGCTCTGTTTGGCGAGGGTTTAGCTCACGGAGCAGTTCGAAATGATCAGCAGGGTTTAAAAAGAGGCTCCACAGGGCCACCGGCAAAACCAATAAGGGCCAGGCAGGGCTGTTATCTGCCAGTAAACTGACACTGGGTAAGCTGTCACTTAAGGCCAATGTCTAAAACACAATACTGCGGAAAGGGCAGCCATTTTTAGAGTGGCGCGGACCAACAATAGGAGCAATCTGACTGATAATGTGCCGACATGACAGAGCTGTTCCAGGTCAGCCTCTCTCACAGCTCTAATCTGGAAAACAACTACACGAGGCTTTTAACTAAATCTCTTTTAAACATCTGGAAAACAGCAAAATGCAGATACAGACCATCACATATTTGGTCCAGGTCAAAGCTTTTAAAAGCCAAACAGTCTCTCAAAGGTCAAATCAAAGTCCGTTTTAACAGGAGCTGCACCTCTTTTCAGAGAGGACGCTCATTATGAAGAGACTCAGCCAGCTCAGTCCTGGGTGTGAGACACAGAGCCTGAAGCATGGGCGTCAGCGCTGTGTACCGCGGTGCGCTCTTTTATTCCTCACTGTAACCCAGCCCTGATAGAAGGGGGAATCTAGTGTAACTTGTTATAAGGAGAACAAAACCCAACCAACTGTAGGAGATGTGTTTGCCGTTAGAATCTTTTATTAAAAATCCATTCATGACTATTGTGTTTTCAATATTGTTTTGTGATTTAGCAAGCAGCATGTCAGGGCGATCTGCTGGAATCATCTGTATTTAAATGAACTGATCAAGACAAGAACCTGAAGTAAAGATCTCTACATCAAAAATATTAAGCTTAAAATAAAACGAATTTACACACAATGCCAGTTGGGGTGTATTTACTAAACCCTAAGAGTTATTAATCATACATCTAAAAATACAGAGTGTAAGCTAAATATGTAAGAATTTTTTTATTGCAAAATAGAAACATTTCTTTATTTAATTTAAATTGTCGCGGTTAATTGAACAGAAAATCTACGATTTGTAAGGCTTTTCTTGGGAACATAAAGATTAAATGAATAGCTTTATTTCACACATTTCACTTACATCTACAGAAATGTAATCACTGCATTATTGCATGCTTTTGCTTTAATGCACCTGAGATACTGTCATGCTGCTTCTCTTTGTACCTCCATAGGAGCCATTTAACATTCATAAACACATGGAGGAAGGCTTTACAGGCAGCACATGAGTTTGACTTCAGACAGAATTCTTGAGAGCTACGTAACTGAGCTGCACAAGACCTCTTTAAGACTGCAAACACACACACACACCAAGCATTTTACACCACATTTCACTCCAAAATAGTTTGTGTTTGACAGTTTGTTAGTGCTGGATTTCTAACCACACACAGTTTAGCAATTAGATTGGGTTACGCGCACACACACACACACACACACACACACACACACACACACACACACACACACACACACACACACACACACACACACACACACACACACACACACACACACACACACACTCCTGGTGACTCACTCCACTCTCAAATGATAACTTTAAAGCATGCTTTGCTGAATCCTCAGTGCCAGGATTTAACTAAAATCATCACGGAAAGAATGACTTAGATGTTGACGGCGGGAGCTGGACGTCTCTCATGTTTTTAAGACGAGGAAAACAAACTATTCTGTTTCTTTTCCCTCTGCGGATGAACTTGGAGCGTTTTCTGAGAGGAAGCTGCATCCACCGCAGTTTACAGTGACTATAAATATTATCATCAGTGCCCAGAAGAAGGATTAAAGAGTGGAGTCTCGCCCACTTTAATGCTCCGTAAAAAAGTTTGTGAATCATCAGCTGCAGGACAAGAGGTCATAAAACATTCAACTTTATTCTGGAGCCACTGTAAACATATTAAAACAGTTAGAACGTGCCCAAAAACGATATATATTGAAAATGCAAACTTGCAAATTCAGAGTTGTTGTTAATTACAGACCTAACATCAATTAAGGTTTAGTTTTTCAAAATCTGTATCTCTACAGGAAACTCAGGGAAACTAGCAGGGAGCTCCAAATGGGGCTTGTTTTTCAAAATAAAAGCCCAAGAAACACATTTTAGTTACAAAAAGCTCGTTTTTCAAAACAAAAGACCTAGTAAAAACTTTTTTTACAATAAGCTCAAATATAGGTTTTAGTTTTTTTTTTAAAAAGCTGAAGGAACAAGCTTTTTTTAAAAGAAGCTTTAATATAGGTTTGTTTTTCAAAATAAAAGTGCCTGAAACAAACTTTTGTTACAAAAAGCGGGGTCATAAAAAAAACGACTTTATTCTGGAGCCTCAGTGAACATATTAAAAGAGTTTTAACATGTGTGACCAAACACTATTTATGTATTGAAAATAGCTTTAACATCCATTAAGGCTTAGTTTTTCAAAATAAAAGCCTCAGAAAGTAACTTTATCTTTAGGAAGCTCAGGGATACTAACAGGGAGCTCCAAGTGAGGCGTGTTTTTCAAAATAAAAGCCCCAGGAATCAGCAATATGGCTAATGGAAACCTACTAAGCACCACAATCATCTTGAGTGTTGTACTAACTTATCTCCTCTCTCCCCCTCAGAGGTGGAGAAGGACCTGGCTAAACTGGCAGAAGTGGGTAAAATGACGAGTCGTATCTCCAACAATCCTCTCTCTCTGCACCACACCCCCTTCCTCCCCCCGATAAACCCCCCCCACCGCCAACTCCCCGACACCCTGCCCCTCACCATGGGCCGGACTCCATCTCCTAGCAACCTTAGCAGCAGGAGTACAACTCCCAGAACCCCCAGGACTCCCATAACTCCCAACAGCCTGCTGAGGCGCTCCAGTTTTGACCGAGGAGCCCATAAAGAGGTGACCTTCAGGAGGTCAAGGAGCCGCCCTGTGACCCCCACCTGCCTGCCGGCCAGACCCCGACCCCTGCTGACCCCCCCGGGACTCAGCACCACCGACAGCCTGGGGGCCAGCCTGAGGGCGTACCTGTCAGAGGTGAGAAGAGGAACACACACACACACACACACACACACACACACACACACACACACACACACACACACACACACACACACACACACACACACACACACACACACACACACACACTGAGAGAGAGAGAGAGTCAACTAGACTAGCTGTTCTTTATCATTATATTTAAGATATTACATGGAAGATTTATTATTACACACACACACATCCAAATGGACTAATCCGTGGAGCTCCTCACACACACACACTCTCTCAGCTGCGAAACTGGCGCGCTTACATTGTAGGTGCTCCGTGTTTGGGGGGGTGCGGGTGCTAGTGGAGCCTCGCAGATGGGGGTGCTGGAGCCCCCTCACCCCCCCCTTCCCGCATCCATGGTGTTCAGGCTGAGTTTCGCGGTGTCTCGCAGACCCCACGCAGCAACCAGGAAACGACACCAGTAACCCAGCTCACACTGTCCGCTCCTCGAGCCTCAAAGGGCGGAGCAACGAGCCCCTCAACGTCCCGCCAACACGGCACCCAGACCCCACGCAGCATTCTCAGCTGTTTNGTAGCAGTGTGTGTAGCAGTGTGTGTAGGAGTGTGTGAATGAGTGTGTGTAGCAGTGTGTGTAGCAGTGTGTGAATGAGTGTGTGTAGCAGTGTGTGTAGCAGTTTGTAGCAGTGTGTAGCAGTGTGTGAATGAGTGTGAACGCTGTGTTTATCTCCGTGTGTTTCTGTTTGTGTCTCACCCTCAGTAAACCTTCCTATCTGGAAACGGAACTCTTTTATTCCTTTAACTTCAGCTCCATCTCTCAGACCCGCTTCCTGCTCGGGCCAAACAGATAACGCTGAGAAAAACCAGCCATAGGGGGCTTTGAACGCATCACGATGAAGCACAGTGACTGAGGGGGGATGTCTTTTAGTTGTAAAGGAGATGTGTGTGTGATCCACACGCCACACGTCTTTGAATGAATAAACGTAATGACATGTTATTTTGTAGGAGAATAAAAAGCCCCGATGAAGATCTTTGTGCCTAAAACTCACCTTGTTTCGTAGTTTATTTGCAGAAATGACATGATAAACTCAGTAAACACTTCCTCTGGTCTCATCCCCTCACACTGACAGAGACTCCCTTGTATTTCTTTTATCTGACATCAGATTCAAACAGATATCATCAGTAAAAACACGCTATGGTTGCATCATGTTAAAGAACAGTGAGCTATTGATTTCAGGTGAAGACGTCTCTTTGTTTAGTTCTGAAACACGGTGTCTGTGTGTATCTATGCTCCAGATGTATCTGTGACAGCATTACTTTTACGTCAACGTGCTAAAAGCTATTTGAAATGTATTTGTATGAATGGGAGAAGCTGCGATGAAGGAATGCACGCCCTACAACGCACCTTTCTTCCCAGTTTCTTTGCAGAAATGACAGACTTGATGAACTCAGGAAACTCTTCCTCTTTGTCTCGTCCTCTCAGGCTGACACAGAGTCCCTTCTTTGTTTTATATCTGACATAAGATTTAAACAGATATGATATGAAAAAGCTCTTTTAAACTGTGTTTTTATGAATGGGAGAAGCTGTGATGAAGATCTTTTTTTTTTAAACGACATGTATAACACTTCCTCTTTGTCTCATCCTCCCTCATCCCCTATCTGTTCGTTATCTTGCATTGGTTTTCCCAGCATGCATTGCAGTGTTGTGTCTGATTCCCCGCTGTGTGTTGTGTGCAGGTTGCAGGGTGACAGCCTATCAGACGGCAGATCTGAAGAGTGTCGGCCAATCAGCTCCGAGCAGGCCGTGCCCGACATCTCAGGTGAGCTGCAAGACAAACACTTATTTTAAATAATGTTGGGAAAACACTGAATTTCCTCTTCCATCATGAGAGCAACATGATCACAAAGGTATCAACTGTAGCTGTGAACATGACAGGATGTGTGATTACCTAGAAGAGCATCAGGACTGTTTGAGGCATATGATAGCTCTGTGATTAACATGATGATTCAGCCTCTATGGAGAGAGACATATGACAAGCATGCTCATTTCTGACGTGGAGCTAATCTGAAGTAAACGTGGACTTGTAGTCGTCTCTCCTGAGAAATTTATCACTTGTGATGGTATGACTATATGTGGACTTGTAGTCGTCCTCCTCCTGAGAAATTGTCATCTTGCTGATGTATGACTATATGTGGACTTGTAGTCGTCTCTCTCCCTGAGAAATTTCATCTCTGTCGATAGGTATGACTATATGTGTGACTTGTAGTCGTCCTCTCCCTGAGAAATTTCGATCCCTGATGTATGACTGATATGTGCGACTTGTAAGTCTCCTCTCCTGTAGAATTTCATCTCTTGTGATGGTATGACTATATGTGGACTTGTAGTCGTCCTCTCGCTGAGAAATTTCGATCTCTGTGCATGTATGACTATATGTGGGACTTGTAGTCGTCCTCTCCTGAGAAATTTCATCTCATGGATGTATCATGATATGTGGACTGAGTCGCCCTCTCGCTGAGAAATTGTCATCTCTGTGATGTATAGACTATATGTGGACTTTGTAGTCCGTCGCTCTCCTGAGATAATTCTCATTCTCTGAATGTTGACTATATGTGGACTTGTAGAGTCGTCCCTCCTCCTGAGAAACTTTCATCTCTGTGATGTATGACTTATGTGGACTTGTAGTCGTCCTCTCCTGAGAAATTTCATCTTTGTTGATGTATGACTAATAATGTGAGACTTGTAGTCGGTCCTCTCCTGAGAAATCCTCATCTCTGTGTATGTATGACTAATATGTGGACGTTGTAGTCGGTCCCTTCCCTCTGAGAAATTTCATCTCTGTTGACTATGGACTATATGTGGAGACTTGTAGTCGTCCTAACCTGAGAAATTCTCAATTCTCCTGTGAAGTATGACTGTATATGTGGAACTTGTAGTCGTCCTCTCCGTGAGAAATTCATCTTTGTGATGTATCGACTACTAGTGGGACGGTGTAGTCGTCCTCTCCTGAGAAATTTCATCTCTGTGATGGTATGACCATATGTGGACTTGTAGTCGTCCCACTCGCTGAAAAATTTCATCTCTGTGATGTATGACTATATGTGGACTTGTAGTCGTCCTCTCCTGAGAGAATTTCGATCCCCTTATGATGTATGACTAGTATGTGGACTTGTAGTCGTCCTTCTCCCTGGAAATTCATCTCGTGACGTATGACTATATGTGGAGCTTGTAGTCGTCCTCTCCTGAGAAATTTCGATCTCTGATTGTGTATGATCCTACTATGTGGATCTTGTAAGTCGTCCGTCTCCTTTGAGAAATTTCATCTCTGTATGTATGACTATATGTGGACTTGTAGTCGGTCCTCTCGCTGAGAAAAATTCTTCATCTCTGTGCCATGTATGACTAATGTGGACGTTGTAGTCGTCCTCTCCTGAGAATTTGCATCTCTATGATAGTAATGACTATATGTGGTGGCTTGTAGTCGGGCCCTCCTGAAAATTTCATCTCTGTGACGTATTGACTATATGTGGACTTGTAGTCGTCCCTCTCCTGAGAAATTTCATCCTGTGATGTATGACTATATGTTGATGACTTGTTAGTCGTCCCTCTCCTGAGAAATTTCATCTCTTGGTATGTATGACTATATGTGCGACTTGAGTCGTCCTCTCCTGAGAAATTTTCATCTCTGTGAATGTATGACTATACCAATATGTGGACTTGTAGTCGCTCGCTCTACTGAGAAATTTCATCTCTTGCTGTCCATTTATGTCGTATTTATTAGGAGACAGAGAAAACAACGGGACATGAAAATGGTATTTCCCACAAAAGTTACATGAGTCTTGACGTCAATAAGGAGGTAGCGGGGGGACCTCGAAGCTGGAATCTCGACGTGAGAATTTCGACGGTCTGACGAGTGTTATTTGTGTCGTTAATATAAGGTTTATTCTCTTGACAATCGAGCAGGTTACGCCCGGGTTACACGGGTCACGATGTCGTCGTTTCTCTGTTGTTCTCCTCCTCTGCTTTCCGGTTCTATTTAATATTTATTCAATTTTGTCAGCCTTGTTTAATACAAAATGTTTCGCAGTGTAATTTTTTACTACTTATAAAGTTTCTTTTCCTCTGAAAGATTGTTAGACCGAACTTTTACGCGTAGTTCGAAGAAAAGTGCGGGATGGTAGAGTTACATTAATAAATACACAAAATAACAAAAACAAAATAAGTGACACAACAAAACAGAGAGTCGACGAAGTGGTGATTTTCGGAGTCCCCAGACGGGACTACGTACTGCAGACACACGGTCAAATCTTCTTCCTTTGCGGCAGGCATCCTTTGAGAACTAAGTAGGACTAGACTAGTAATTTGAAAAATTTTGGCGGTGTGAATTCCAATTTTCTCTTTTCGTTCTCGAAGGTCTGAGAAAAGTCTTCAAACCTAGTGCTTCTACTAGAGTAATACTTGAGTAAATTGTCTTTGTTTGCCCACGGTTTTGTTCTTAAGTAAAACGACCTTATAACCTCTTTTTTATATATTTATATATTCTTTATATAAAACTAAACTAAATAACTGCCTTCACACATTTGTTATTATATGTTTTTTATTATTAATGTAATTTTGGTGAATTGTTTGAATTTTGTCATAGTTTCAACTAATTGTTTCTACTATACTAACTGAAGTTTAATGTATATTGTGCTTAAATAGGTAGTATATGCTTCTTAACAAATATAATATTTATCTTGTTAATAATTATGACATACTTCGGTGACTTGTCAGGTGGGGCGGGGCATCAAACGATTTAATTACAAAAAAACCCTGGAAAACCCGAAACAAACTTTTAGAGTGAGCAGTGGCGAACTCGAAGTTCAGAGTCCCTAGGTACTAAAAAACTAGGAGAGGTTTTTACTTCAGTTATTTGATTTTTCTCTTAAACACGCATAAAAAGTTTTTAGAGTTTTAAGACAGGAAAAGTTTTTAGTTTTTTAAGACATAAAAAGAGTTTTAGAGTTTTAGACTCGAAAAGTTTTTTAGAGTTTTAAGATAAAAGTTTTTTAGACTTTTAAGACTGAAAGAGTTTTAAGAATGAAAAAAATAAAAATAAAAGAAAGTTTTTAGACTGAAAAAGAGTCTTTTAGACGGAAAAGAGTTTTTAGATGTTTTTACGATCTGAAAAAGAGCTTGATTAGCACAATAAAAAGATTATTTTTTACACGAGTTTTCAGGCTGCAAAAGATTTTTTTTAGAGTTTAGACTGCATAAAAAGTCTTCAAGACTGAAAAAGAGTGTTTAGAGTTGTAAGATGAAACCCCCCGAAGAGGTTC